CAAATTCTGTACCCCGACAACGACAAAGGTTATTACTGTTTTACTGTTTCCAACATTAGTTTGGTAGCAGCGGGGTACAGGTTGTCAACTTTGTTATCTCCTCCCTGCGTGGTTCCCCGTAATCTGCATGCGTTTATGCGTCTTTCCTCTGTCAACAGGCCTGGAATGACTCTGTAAGCAATCGACATCGTGATTTTTTTTGAAGATGTATGTCTTTCATATTTCTCTCCTGTCACGTAGAGTTATGCTTTCCGACTAGCATGTTGTGCAGTTGTGTTATATCGGACCGGCCATTGCATTTAGTTCGATACTCCTAGTCTGACGTAAGTCTCAGAGTCTCATCAACGTACGTATTTCAGTGATTAAGGGTGGTCTTCACTGATCTCAAAAAAAAGCAACCTATTGTCTCTGATTCGCCGATTTTGAAGCCCGCGATTTTCAACCGGCGCCATATTGGGGGGCCCTATTGCGGTATTGTAATAACTGTGCGGAGAAGTGGTATGATGTGTAAACGATGGGAAAGCAAGGTACAGAATGTGTTTCTTATGGTTGTATTAAGTAAAAACGAAACGTTAAAGAAGAAAATTACGTACGAAGTGATAGCGAGGGTAGCGAAGATGAAGAGTCCGTGAAAAAAAAGAATATTCCCAAGAACATTCCACAGGTGAGATAGGCCTGCATATTGTCTTGCGTGATTGCACTACAACTGTATTATCATCTATGATTTCTTGTATAATGCAGAGAACAAAATAAAGGCTTATTTTTTTGAGATCTGTGATGATATAGCATTAGTTGGGTGGGCAAAAGAGTATTTGATAAACATTCAAAAAAGGTTCTTCCTAGATCTAAGATTTTTGGCAGGTTATGTTTGCACTTGCAACTTATAAAAAAAATATACATTTTATTAACAACAGCTAGTTAGCTAGTATGGTTGCTTCTAGCAAAGGTGATATTTGAAAAGGCCCTTGATAAAAATATATAATTTAAGATGTTACTTATTTACTTATTTGGCCTTGCTAAATTCCCTGTGGCCTACGCAAAATACAAAATGCAAAATTTTGTGACTTAAAGATACCTACACTTGTAGGAACTGAACTGCATAAACTTTCCAACATCTTGGATCCCTTTATATTTAGGTCTGAAGCAGCAAGTAACTACAGATTTTGTATTCACTTTTATCTATATATGCAGCAAAACCCAAAACAAAAAGTGATAAACATCAAACATATATGCCAAAAAAGATTTGCAAATGGTTTCCGCTTATTCAGCCAAAAAGTTTCCTTCAGTAGCTCAAACAATCTTCAGTACGTAGACACACTGCGTCCATCACATAAGGCCCTCCAATATGGCTTAATTTTTTGAAGAATGGAAACTCAATCCAGTCTTTTTTTTGAGATCAGTGGTGGTCTTGCGCGTTGGTTATAGGTCTTCTGTGGTTTAATAGTATTAAAAGAATCTTATGTTGATAGATTTGTAATAATTATGTTTAAGTGTCTTTATGAGAACAGCAGACCTCGAAAAGCCTAGCTTTGTAATTTCTTACAACAACAAAAAAAGCTTCTGTCTACCTGTCTTTTTTTTTTTTTTTTTTTTTTTTTTTCTTTAAGGCACCTATGATTTTATTATTTGCAAAAATATAGGAACTCACACTTTTTCTTAATAGGTTTGCTAAGTCGTATTGACTAGTGTTTGTCTGTTCGCTCTAACTGCATGAACACTAGACGATTTGTTTTAATTAAATAAACCTTTCAGATTCTTCATTATCAGAAAAAGAAATTTAGTGATATTAATAAAAATTGCTTTCTCACTGTAAAACTAATGTAGGCCTACAAAGACTTGCGCGCACACACACACACACACACACACACGCACACACATAAACATATTTATATGTGTACATAGAGACAAAGAGACATGTATATATGTGCAGTACATACATTCAGAGAGGGATGGGTCGACCGAGAGCGATAGGAATATGGAACTAGGCAATACTAATTTTCATTGTGTTTACTTCCAAACTGAAACTTTTTTTCACTTTTGAAGAACTATATTACATATTATATCATATTATATTACTATCTTATATTACACATTATATTACATTAAACTTAATTAAACTGAATATATCCACCTGTATCTCCTGCCTGACTCTATTTGTCCAGCCCTTCTCATCTATCTAGATTTATCCATCTCTCTCACAAATCACCTTTCAACATTACAAGGGGTTTGGAGGTTAGGAACGAATCGAGGAGGAGAAAACGGGAAATGAAAAGGAAAAGGCTATTGTTGAGGGAGAATGTAGACCGTTAAATTAAGGAAAAGGTAAGTATAGGGAAAGCAGCAACCTGCCTGTTGTTCTAAGAAAAGTCGTTTTAATTGGCAATCATATAATTTCAGTCGACCATGACACTTAGTGCATTATTCACCAGGCACTTCAAGATTCCGAGATCGGATTTTCCTGTGTATCCTTCAGTATCTTCAGTGGCAGCTGCAAAACGGA